AAGTTAGATATAAATAGATATCTTATAAATATAAAAGCTTAGATTATTATAAGAGGGGACCTCTAACTAAGAGATCTTAAGAATATTTATACTATAATATTTATTTTTTAAACTTTTTAAGTTATAATAATAATTATTATATAATTTAACTATAAAGTATACTAATATAATATTATTAATATATTTTTAAATATAAAAATACTAAAAAAAAGAGATTTAATTATTTATAAGATACTTTAAAGTATTAAGAAACTTATAAAATACTTAGATTCCCCTATTAAATATATTATTAAGCTAAATAAAGCTCTATATAAACTTTAAGATATATTACTCTTATAATATAAAGAATTTAGCTCTACTCTTAAGAGATTTAGTTTATAAAGTTTAAAAAAGGACCTCTATTTCTTCTAAAACCCTAACTAAAAAGTTATAGTTATATTCTATATTAATAATTTTCTTATTTTATTTTATAAAAATAATAAGGATAAAGCTTATAAAGTTATTAATAAAATTAAGAAAGAGTATAAGATTAAGGAATAAAGAGATATTAAATAATACTTAGGAATAAGAGTTATAAAAAATTAAAAAACTTAAAAAATCTTTTGAATTTATAATTTATATATTAAGAAAATTACTTAGAAGTTTAACTTATAAGATACTACTTACTTATTAATTTCTCTATTTTAAATAAAACTTAAGAAAAATAAAAGATAAGTAATACTATAAAAAGTTAAGACTTTTTAAGAGATAATTAGATTAATACTTTATATAGCTATATTTATTAAAGTAGATATTATATTTATAATAATACTTTTATCTTAATTCTTTATAAATCTATTTTAAAAGTATTTAGCTATTATAAGATATATTATATAGTACTTATATAAGACTTAATATTTTATAATTTATTTTAGTATTTTAAGGGATAAGTTTATAGGTATCTAAATATTACTTATAGCTATAAATACTTTATTTATAAATAATAAAGTAATATATTAATCTTTATAAAGATACTTTATAATACTATTTAGGGGATTAATTTAATAGAAAATAACTAAATAAGTAATAGTTATAATATTAACTACTAAAATAGAACTCTTAAGCTTAATAGAGATAGTAAAAAAAATAATAGCTTTTTAGAAGCTATTTAAAGATATTAAACTTAAGTTTAGTAATATATAGAATATTTACTATAATAACTAATAAATAATTAGACTTATTATAAGTAATAAAAAGAGAATAAGTATTTATTTAAAGTATATTAATATCTATAATATATAGTTAAAATAGAAGTATTAAAAAAGAAACTTCTAAGTAATCTATATACTAATAAATAAGATATTTATAGATAGACTTATAAAAAATCTCTTATAAGTAAAGTTTAAATATTTTTACTTATTTTTAAATCTTATAGATATAATATATATAATTATAATATATTTATAAGGATTATAAAATAAAATAAGGTTTCTTTTATTATATATAAAACTTAAAAGAAAACTATTTATAAAACCTAAAGAGTTTTTTATAAAACTAAAAACCTTATAAAACTCTAAACTAAATAGGTTATCTACTAAATATTAAAACTATTATAAAGATTAATATATTTAAAAGCTTAATATAAATTACTAAGTTTATAAATAGTATAAAAAAGATCTATATTAGAGAACTATCTAATATTAAAGAAATTCTCTAAGTTTTTAACTATAATAGCTTACTTATAAATAGAAATCTTATTATCTCTTAATAGTATTTTAATTTTATTATAAATATTTAAGAAGTCCTTCTTAGAATAATTATAATAATTAAAAATAAATTATAATATATAAATAAACTAATAATAAACTACTTCTCTTAAATAAATATAAACTAAAATAGTACTTTAAATAAAAGTAATAAAATCTCTATTTTAAGAAATAAGTAGAATAGTTTTAGTTTATAAAATAACTAAAGTTAAAAAGTATAACTTAAGAAGAAAACTATTAGTAATAATAGAGATTAAAATATAAATAGGCTTATAAGAAGTATAGATCTCTTAAGGGGTAATAGAAAAAGTTATATTAAATAAACTAATATAAAGCTTCTTAATAATAAGCTTATAAGAAATAAGCTATTCTTAAGGATACTTAGTAGAAATAACTTATTAAGTTAAAATAATAGCTAGAGAAATACTTATAAGATAATTATTATTTTTTAAGATATACTTATTCTTATAAATCTATTAGTAAACTTAAGATAATAACTTAAAAGTAATATTATTATTTTTAGAAGAATTAATTTAATAGATTTAATTTAGCTAAGAACTATAATATTTATAAGACTAAATAATATAAAGGATAGCTATAAAAAGAGGAGTAATATAATAAGGAGCTAAAGAAGTAAATAATTTAAAAAATACTTTATTTAGAAGCTTTTATTTAATTTTAAATAAAGTAAGACTTTAAAGCTTCTAAGAATAAGTACTTTTATAAGAAATAAGTTTCTTTTAAATTTTTTTTATTTAAAGAGTTTTTTTTTTTTCCTCTTTAATAGCTTTATAATATTTCTAAATAGTAGCTATCTCTTAAATAGTAAGCTAATTATAAACTTTAGAAATCTTATAATATTAAGAAGTAAAATAGCTATCTTTATACTTATTCTATATAGGTTTTTAAGCGTTATAAGTTTTAGAAAGATATTATATACTTATAAGTAAAATAAAAAACTTATAAAATAAAAACCTATACTTTAAGCTTTTTTAACCTTAATAGTAATATAAATAACCTTTATTTTATAAATAATAATATTTAGCTTATTAGCTTCTATAGTAATCTTAAGAGGGATAATTATATACTTATTATAATAACTCTTAAAATATAAGTTATAATAACTAAGATTTAAAGAATAATAATAGTATATATAATTATTACTATAACTATTACTTATAATATACTTAAAGTATTTTACTTTATTTAGCTTATTAATCTTATAGTTATAGCTATTTTTTCTCTTTTAAGTAAATATAATACTTAAGAATAGTTAGCTTATAAATATATAAAAAAGAAAAATTAAATTTACTTTTCTATTTTTAAAATAAAGGAAATATATTACTACTACTATTTTAATAATTTTAAAGCTTAAAAAGAGTATATAAAGCTAGCTTTAGAAATAAATTAGTAAATAATTTTATAAGAAGAAAGAGAGAAATATATTTTTTATAAACTTAAGCTCCTCTTTAATAATATTATCTTTATAAAGAATAACTATTTTATTTTTATTAAAAAAGAGGTATTTTAGAATATACTTATACTTATAAAAAGGAGGGAAGCTAATACTTAAACTTTTATAATACTAAAGATCTAAGATAATTTATAAATCTTTATAAGAAATCTAATTAAAATTAAGTTTACTATTAATAATAAGAATAGCTTTAGGAATAAGATTTTTAGTTAAAAACTCTTTAAAAGTAAGACTTTTAAGAATAAGCTTCTTAAGAACTAGTTCCTTAAAAATAAAATTCTTAAAAATAAGATTCTTATTAGTAAACTCTTAATAAGTAAGTTTATTAGTAATATAAATATAACTATTAATAAGATTATTAAAAATAGTTCTAAGAAAGTATTTATAAGGATAGTTATAAGTATAAACTTCTTAAAATAAATCCTTATAAGCTTTATTATAAGTATTAAAAGCTATAAAAAAGCTTATTAGTAATAATAATAAAAAAGAAAAATAAAATATTTATTAAGCTTATTAAGTAACTTATAAGTATTATTAGTAACTTAAATAGCTTACTCTCTTATTATTATAGCTTATTTAGCTTATATCTAAAAATAGTATATATATATAATATTATAAAATAATATAATAGTAATAGTTTATAAAATAAGAAATAACTCTTAAGTAAATTTAAAAAGGATATATAATTTTTAAGAAAAGTTATTATAATATTATAAATAAAAAATAAGATCTTATAAGAATATAAAAAGTTATATAAAAGAAAGAAAAGTTTTATATATATTTTAAGAAAAATCTTCTACTTTATTTACTTTTTAGTTAATTAACTATTTTTACTTATAAATATAAAGTATATAAATTAGTATATTTTATATATTTATAAAACTAACTAAATATATTATAAGTTAAAGATATTTATTAAAGTCTTTTTAATAGTATTATAGAGAATAAGCTTTTAAGTTATTTTTTTTTAAGAGAGGACTTCTAATTTTATATATATAATTAGTTTTTATATAATATTTTTAGTTTATAAATATTTTTATATATATATAAAGCATTTTTAGCTATTCTTATAACTAAAAAGGTATATAATAATTTATTTTATAATATATCTTCTACTTTATATAGCCTTTTTAATAAACTTTACTAAAGGAGTAAGTTATATAACTAGTATAAGCTTTATAAGTTTATAATTTAAGGACGCTTAGGAGGATAACTTCCTCCTAAGTAATACACACCTTTTTATAAACTCTTTAGTCTCCTCTAACTACTAGCTCTCAGTATAACTTAATTAGGAAAGATGCCAACGCCATCATTCAATCGATCTGCCATCACGCTTGTCCCAGCCTTGCCATGTTCTTATACCGCTTGAAACCTCAGAGGCACGGATCACATCATCTTCCTAGATTTCTTTAAATTCGAGGAAGTAAAGCTGTCGCGATGATGGGGATGAAAATCAAGAGTGTCAGAAAATTGTCATTGCAATCTAAAACTGCTACCGCTGTCCCGTTTCCTGATTCATATTCCCGAACTCCAAAACGCCTACGCAACCGACTTTCCTTTCCGCCGCGATATGTCAAACTATTCATAGAGCGTTTCCCGCGGCGCTTATCGTTTCGAAAGAAAGAAAAGTCGAGAAATCTCTATCCCGTGCTGAGCTCGAACCCCATAATCTTCACATCTCTCTCCTTGATTAAACCCCAACCTTGGTAAGATTGGCTTCCGGCAAATCTCAAATCTCAAATCTCAGCTAACACCCCAAGCTCCTAGTCGGGTTGTCTCATTCATGCGTTCAGCTTGTTGACGCGCTCCGTGAGCTTCTCCCGCAACTCTTCCGCCAAAAACTCTCGATAATCTGCTCCTTCAGCAATGACCAGCTCGCTGGCACACTGTACGAGATCGTTCCAGCCTTTGGACTGGATCGTGGCAATGAAAGAATGCAGTATGTCTTTCCGGAAGATCTTGTTTTTGCTGATCGCTATGTTTGGCAAGAAGTGCATGGTTCTGCGCAGCTCCGTGATTGTCTTTTGCACTTCGGCGGCGTTGGTCTCTGTGACGACTTGTCGTTCGATGTCCTGCTGAGCCTCAGCAGTATTGATCTGACCAATTTCGTTATTGACATCAGGATCAGTGTTCTCTTGGCGACCATGATGGGCGTCTTCGCGTGGTCTCTTGATCGCTGGCTTGACGTCTTCGTCTTCCGAGTTGATTTCGATGACCTCAACGTGGCCTTGGAGTGTGGCGGTTGATGCATCCCTCTCTGCGCGTCTTTTCTTCTGCCTTGGACCATGCGTGACGAATGTTTGTCTTCCCGACGCCGTACAACCGCTAGATTTAGCAGACCAAGAGGAAGTCTCCGGCGCCTTTCTCTTTCGAGAGTCGTCTTGAACGGCCTGCCTCGGCCCAATTGCTTTTCCAAGACTTGGCCGAGAACCTGTTCGCGCATCATCATCCTCATTTCTAGAGTTGTCGTTATGTTGAGGCCCGGCAGACTGAGCACCATATATCGCTCTCTGCAACCCCTCCTGTGAGTAGGTGTTCACGCCAGTGATGCAATTTATGAGGTAGCTCGCCCCCGCATAGCACTGTCTGAAAGTTGGATGATCCAGCCAGGTTTCGGGAAGGCTCATCTGGAACCTCAGGATGGCAGAGCACACCTGCCATTTCACAACGGCCCTGTCTCCTTTCTGCATGCGTCGTGCTAATGAGACTGTGCGGTTATTGTGGCAATCTCCGGATGGTCCTCTCTTCTCGCTGTTCGTCAATTCTTTGGAGAGGTCATCAATGACCATGGTCTTCTCTTGTCGGGACAAGAGAATGTCGTGAATGTCCGAGTTGAAGATTCGAATTGCCAGCTTGAGGTACTTAATCTGGTAGGGAAGGTGGTACGGTTTCTTCGGATAGCGGTACCTAGCATGAGCAGGCGCCGCCATGCCTGTTTGTTGGTTGTTCATGTTTGTGGCCCAGGAGGATTGTGAATCTGCTAATGCCGTTTCGGAGATAGCTGGCTAGGGTGAAGTTCGTGGGGTTGCCTTTATAATCAGCTCCAGAGGAAGGCGTTATCGTGGTGAAGTTATCAACGAAAGATGTGTGTTGTGTTTGCAACGAGGATGAATAGATTGCCGACGAGAACTGAGATTTGAATAACCCAAAGGTAAGAGCGATGCGGTCTTGGATTATTCTTGAATATGTTGAAAACGAAAGAAAAGATCTCTTGCAATACTTTCGCCGCTGTCGAGTTGATGTTTTGTTTGGAGGAGACTCGGGTACGGCTGGAGCCGATTTCAGATGGTGAACATAGGACGGGTGGTTTCGTTTGGCGGAGGGAAGGTGACTCAAGAGGAAGGTAAATCCTTCGGTGGGTGAAATGAGTTTCACTTCAGGATATTTTTGATGAGTCAAGAACTAAGAAGGTGCATATGGTGATTACTCTCTACTTTGAGGAGAGAACGTGTTGCCGTGAGAAAATAAACAGGATGATATGATGCGGGATGATATGCCGCAGATGGTGAACCTCTTGGGGTGTTGTGAGGATGATGTTGAGTTGAAGTGTAAGGCTTGGCTTGCATTTATAGCTGCGCTGAGGCGGTGATGTTGGGACACAAGCTAGCTCGCTATAGAGAAAAGTCCTTCAGCCCTCTTGTAGTGCCATCAATCCCCAGTGCCTCCTTCTCATCGTCACCCAGTACCCCCAGTGCCTGCCTCCTAGTAGGCGCATTCGCATCAAAGTACGGCTTCTCCGCGAGGGAAGTCACACGGGTGCCGTGACGCGGGTGCTTGCCCTCGTAATCCCAGCTGGCGTTGTGAATGGTGATCCTGTAAAATCGTCAGCTCATACTTTTCACAATCATTCTTGTCAAGCATCAACTAACCTGTTGTCCCAGAGGGCGCTCGTGTTCGGCGTCCACTTGAACCGCACCTGGATATCCACATTCTGCTCATACACATCAAACAGATATCCCAAGATCACATCGCTCTCCGCCTTGTCCAGCCCGACAATGCGGTCCGTCATCGCCCGGTTTACCCACAGCGCCTTCCACCCAGTTGCGGGGTGCACCCTGACAAGCGGGTGTGCGCGCTCAATGTGCTTGGGCCCGGCCTCCTGGTTGTCTCGGTCGATATACGCGTGCGCGGACTTGTACACAGCGTAGCGGCCGTCAATGATCTTGCGGAAGTCAGGCGACAGCTTCTCGTACGCAGCGTAGCCGCTCGCCCAAAGGGTATCACCACCGATGGGCGGGACGGTATCGTTGTGCAGATGCGTGACACCCGCGGGCTGGCGCTCGTGGACGAGGTCGGTGTGCCAGCGGGAGGCGCCGCCCGGGTTGCGGAAGTTGGCCGGGCGCTCGGTGGCCCACAGAGCCGGCCAGATGACGGAAGCGCCGACGACGCCGGGGACTTGCGGGACTTGAGGCTGTACAGGGGGACTTTGTCAGCAAATATCGATCTGAGGACACTGAAACGGCTTCGCAACGACTTACATGGACTTCGACCTCTCCGAACCATTCACCAAGCTCTTTCTGCTGTTGAGGTGAAAGATCCTGGTCTCTGAAGAAGACAACGCTGCGCTCGGCGATCAAGAGCGCGAGCTCATCCTTTTGCTCAGGCGTGAGGTCCTTGAGTTGCAGACCCTCGATTTCGGTACCGATATGCGTCGTCAAGTCCGTGACTTTAGTTGCGGCACCGAGCAGGTTCTTCTTGGACTTGTCGGCACGAGCGCCGGCGTCGACGTATTCGCGCTCCTTGTTGCGGATGTTGATGGCATCCTGCAGGAAGAGGGGTCTTGAGGGACGGTACGGGTAGCCGTTGGAGAGGTCCACGCCGGCCTTGGTCAACCTTGCCTTTGCGGGCTCGGGGAGGCCGAGGGTGTCTTTCCGCGGCTCCGCCACGTCGGTGATGGCTGGGTCAATGGGGGCGGGAACCATGATTGTGATGTTCCGCGTGGGGTTTAAGGGAGATCTCAATTCGAACGGGAGACAATTTTGGTGTAAATATCGTTTCACCTGTTGGCGAGATATAAAGTCTAAGCAGAGATGAAATAGGCTGATGTGATGAATATTACCCTTCCAAGCTGCAACTGCCTTCCTTTATATCGAACATACAACGTTATGTCCCAACAACCCCTCCAATGACACGATGCCATATTCAAGTATCACAACGCCGACCAATGCTCACCAATCGAGCTATGATTACCAATAATCGCGGGGTCGACGGCCATTTAGACGACTTATCTATGGCTCAATCTGCATCAACTGTGACGAATCCAGGGACCTCTGGGCAAGATCGAACCACTCGAGTCACGGATCTCGGGAAACGACTCGCGAGCCAAATCCTTTGGCGCAGCACGCCATACAAACCAACCAACAGTATGTTCTCTGCAACACCGAGATGCAACGCTCCCAGAGATGGTGTCGTGAAATAACAGCAACAACCAGTGAGCGGGGTCTCTCTCAGCTGCCCCCCGCGCGGCCGAATTGGACGTTGGGGACATGTCGCGGATCCGGGGTTGTCAGCTTGCCGCGCAAGTGGGGGTTGCGCGATACAAGGGGCCGATTGTGTGCTTGTGGACCAACGGCAGGCCAGACCCTTTGTGACGCGATCGCCAGCACCCAACTCAGCATTTGGATGCGCTTCGGAAGCTAAATAGGCGTGGGCTAACCCGTCTTGTTTGACGAGATGCTGTTAGCTTGGGTGGTTGCCTTATTGCCTGCGGGCCTCAGCCCCAGGTAACTGCGTTATGTAAGCTGCGTGGTTCAAAGACTTTTTGAGACTAATTAACAGGGTAGTTATAGTAGCTATACTACTACGAATCCTCCTACGCTTAACACTACTATATCTTAGCTAATAAGGCTATCTACTATACTAACGTCGCTAGTATCTCTATTAACGCAATATCTAAAGTTTAATATAAAGTACTATTATTAATTACTATTAGTATAGCTTTAAGAGCTTATTATACTTAAATAAGAGATAGCTTATATAGTAGTGTTTATTATAGTATTAGTTTATATAGAAGCTATATATAACTTAATAGCTTAATCTAAACTCTTTAGTAATAGCTTAGCTTACTATCTATTAAGATTAGTATATTTATTTTTTTTAAGCTAATATAGTACTTAATAATATCTCTATAGAAGCTAGAGTTTTATTAGAAATTAGGATAGTTTAGATAGCTAATTATAGCTATCTTTATATTATAAACGTTAGTAGGGTTAAGTTAAGCTATTTTAATTAGGTTATTATTATAGAGGGGTTAACGTAGTATTATAATCCCTACTAGTTTAGCTAGTTTTATAGCTATACTAATTCTTACTTTTAAGGTTCTCTATGACCTTGAGAGATGAGGCTAAATAGTAGTATATCTGTTGATACCTTGAAGTTTATTAGTAAGAATTTTCTCTTTCTAGAACACTAAAAAAAAAAAAAAAAAAAAAAAACTGGGTAACAAAACCAAAGGGTGGTTGCCTTATCTCCGCTCCGTTGGAGCTATCCTTTGGACTTGTGAGACAGTCTCCAAGAAACCAAGGTGCCAGGCGGCGATCTCCCGACGTCCAAGGCTGGGCGATTTGTGCTTAGTCTTGGTGCCTCGTAGAATAGCCAAATTGGCATTTGGGAAAGCAAGAGAGGTGAAGATTTTTGTTGACGGCAAGAATTCCTTCACACAGATACATGAGAAACCGCCACAATGAGCCATATTTTGCCTTGAGCAATCCCACCTCGCTTTATCTTCGCGGGATGTTGTCGGATGTTGCCTGCCACGGGTGCCAACGGCAGCAGCACGCCATCGTATCCAGAATCATCGTCAGCGGGAAAAGCCCAGTTTTTGGCCTTGCCGCCGCGAGCTTGTCCGATGTTGCTCCGATAAGACCCCTACATCGAAAGAAAATTCACATCCGATGGGTTGTTGGTTTGCATGCATAAAGCGCGATGCGCTTGCTGTCAATGTGGTACTTGGTCTAGACTACTGTCGATCCTGACGAGCATCGTGCATTGTCTTTGATTCAATCGTCGTTGCCTCGGCTCCGGAGCCCATTCGTTCACAATGGTAGTCACCGAGGTCAATGAGAAGACGGCCGCCGTCGACTCGCCACGGAGCAAGTCCCCGACCTCCGTCGACGCCGACTCCGCCGCGGGGCATCTCGTCGAGGAGAAGCCCAAGCTCACATGGAAGTCGTATGTCTGGGATACCCTGGACAAGTCTCCCGAGGAGCGCAAGTTCATGTTCAAGCTCGATGCCATTATCCTCACCATGGCGTCGCTCGGGTACTTCATCAAGAACCTGGACCAGATCAACATCAACAACGCCTTCGTGTCTGGTATGAAGGAGGACATGCAGCTTTTTGGTAATGAGCTGAACTACATGCAAACCTGTTGGACTGTTGGATATGTTCTTGGGGAAATTCCAAGGTCAGTTGCCCATATTTTAGATCGTGGGCATCTGGTGTCTGAGGGATATGGCTAACACGAAAGCACAGCAATCTGCTCCTCACTCGTGTCCGCCCCTCAATCTGGATTCCCGCCTGCGAAACAACCTCGGCCGTTCTTACCATTCTCATGATCAAATGCACAAACACAACCCAGCTCTACGTCCTCCGTTTCTTCATCGGCCTCGCCGAGAGCACGTTCTATCCCGGCATGCAGTACATCATCGGCTCCTGGTACCGCAAAGACGAACTAGCCAAGCGATCCTGCATCTTCCATGCCAGCGGTAGCATAGGTAAGCAACAATTTCCCTCTAGCTCTCACTCATACGTCTGCAAGACACTCATGCTGACCTCCTTTAGGATCAATGTTCAGCGGTTACCTCATGGCAGCTGTATACAACCTCGACGGCGTCCACGGCTGGAAGGGGTGGCAATGGCTCTTCATCGTCGACACCGTCATCTCGCTCCCCATCGCTCTCGCCGGCTTCTTCCTCCTCCCGGACGTCCCCGAGATCGCCAAGGCGTGGTAC